GTAGATGCAGTAGTGAGTGTCACATTTCCTTGGGATAGCTTCTACTTTGTCTACAAAGTTAGGGGCCCTGACACCATGGCAAGGAGTGGGAATAGGGGCCTCTGGGAGGATATAGAAGAGAGAGGAAGAGCCTCTGAAACAGTCCAAAAGAGAGAGAGAGAGAGAGAGAGAGAGAGAGAGAGAGAGAGAGAGAGAGGAGAGATAACTGATAGGAGAAATGAATTAAGCTTGGCAGGTTGCCTTGAGGGCTGTGCTCAGATGTCTTTTCATTTGGTATGTTTTTTGTTAGCGTTGCTTCCCCGGAGCAGGCAGGGAGAAAATAGTGGTCAGGTTCACTTGGGGTTTGTCAGACAAGAGAATCAAAAAGTTAGAGACTATTGGATATTGGCCCAAGTGTTAACTGAAATTGTATGTTGCAAATCTAAGGTGGGTGAGTAAGAAAGTTAAGGTGCACACCGGTTTATAAAATAGGCAGATTAGTGACTTGATTATCCCAGTCGAATCAAAGATGGTTCATGGTGGAGGTGGATTGTAGTCTAAAGAGTAAAAAGAATAGGACACTTGATTAGTGATTATTCAAAGTAACACAAATGATACCATTATCCTTTTAAATATAAAAAAAAGTCTTTGGTAAATTCATAGTGCACCCTTGGTTGCATAGTAGTAAGCCATGAAGATATGATTATATCCAAAGTGCTCTGACTCAGAAGACTGAGTGGCTGGAGGGAGACTGTCGAAAGAGGGCAGAACTATGTGACAGAGCCAAAAGATTGCTGGAAAAGAGTCTTTAGTTAGAAGAGAAGGAAGCTGAGCCCTCGGCCTCTGAGCGCACAGTGTGGCGTGCCTCGTCGTCACTGTCGAGAGGTTTTCCTGAGTGCCGGGACTCCTTGCCCCAGGTTGACTTCTTTCCCTTCTCTCTCTTGTCCAGTGTCCCTTTGCATGCTCATGGCTGCCATCTCATTCAAGTTTCTTTTAACTTGTCTACTCAAATAATATCACAGTTTTGGCCCCACTCTGATCTGCTAGTGCCTAGCACGGTGTCTTCAGCAGATCACAGTCCAACAGACCTTTATCTCTTAGAGGCTGAGGAGTCCCAGTTGAAGGCATCTGGCGTCTGGCAAAAGCCTACTTGTGACTTTTCCCTGCGGGCCTTCTCGCCGTGGCTGAGGGGCTTTTCCCTGCTTCTGTGCTATGTGAGGGCTCTAGTCCATCTCTACAACATGACCACATACAGGCCTCGTGATTTCTGAAAGCCCGCACCTCCGGACTAGTACATTGGACACGGAGCTACAATATCGTAATCTGAGGGGAGTGATTATTCATAAACTTTTAGTCTGTGCACTTCCCTTTCATGCTTTCTTTAACTGCTATTTATTCTGCTCAGTAAGGCTCAGTGGCTTTCTGTTATTGCAAAATAAAAAAGAGACCCAATGTGACATTTATTTAGTGGCTCTGGAGTTTGTTGTGGGAAATTGGCTATCTCTTCAGTTCCACCTCCTGCATTAAACCTTTGCAAGTTCTCTGGGTTTCTTGCCCTTTCGTTGTCTCAGTGTTCTACCATTCTCTCTAGTTGGAATTTCTTCACACACACACACACACACACACACACACACACACACACACACACACACATACACCCCTACCCCCATTTATTTATTTATGTATGTATTTGGACATACCTGGTACTTTTCAGGGCTTACATTCTGCATTCAGGGATCAATCCTGGCAGGCTCAGAGGACCAGATGAGGTGCCAAGATTTGAGTCTGGGTTGGCACAATGCAAGGCAAGCACCCTGTCCGCTTCTGCATAAGATTTACTTTTTCTGGGACATTTTCATTGGCCAGTTCTTACCAGCCACAAATCTCTCTTGCTCTTTGATGTGGCTATTATTAGTTTTTTTGGGTATATGATTACTGAGGTTACATCTCTTCTAAAGCGTCTAAAGACAAAGACGTGGCTTTATTTGATCTGTTGGAGATGAGGAAAATAGTTATTTTCCTGTATCACACTGTATCACTGTGTCACTGTCATCTCATTATTCTTCGATTTACTCGAGCGTGCGGCAGTAATGTCTCCATTCATCCCAGTCCTGAGATTTTAGCAGCCTCTCCTTACTTGTCTTTCCCAACGTGTTGGAGGGTCTTTCAGAGTCAGGGGAATGAGACCCGCTATTATTACTGTTTTTGGCAATCTTGAAAACGCCACAGCTAGCTTGCCAGGTTCTGCTGTGCGGGCAGGATACTCTCAGTAGCTTGCTGGGCTCTCTGAAATATATATATTTCTCTATCAATTATGTAGTTATTCGTTAATGAAGGAAGAAACCTACTTTTTCCATGATCAGGCACGTTTTGGTAGATCTCAGAGGCAGAACTGTAAAAAGAAAGAGTACCAGCATCTGTGTGAGTGTTTGTCTGATGTGTAGACAAAGACTTTGAGACAGATGCAAAAACTAAATCCTCTTTTGCAACCCAGAACTCATTGTTTGGTATGAGTTCTGATACAGATGAGAAGGAACATGACGCCCAGAACAGATGAAAAGTTTGAGAGTTAATAGCAATTCTAGGTCTTTGAGGACAACAAGCGCCTGTCAGTTGAGCCAGCTTCGTTGGACATCAGACACCTGAACATACATGCTGAGGCTCATGACTTGAGTGACAGCACTGGGTGCCTACTCTGAAAAGGACTAAATTGAAGATATTCTTGGACATATATACTTTATTGTTGAGAAAGCGCAATCTAAAACGGGACTTATAATTTCATTAAACGTAACTCGGGTGTTGTCAACGAGGAGGGGTCAGTACTGGCGTGTGGAGCCTGGAAGTCAGGCGTGAATGACAGAAACCAAATCATGTTTTGAGGGTACCTAATATGGAGATGCACCTCAGTTCACGTGACCCTGGGAAATGGGGCTGAAGTGACCATGGGCCCAGGCCCTCGCCTCCTTCCCTGTGTCTTGCTGGTAGCTAAAACCTTGGCGCCCAAGGCTGGGAAACTGTGGCCTTGTGAAGACCAGATCAGTGGAACCTCAATCTCTTGGGGTGACAATATAGGGATTGAACAGACTGGCCATTGGTACGTAGGGCCACGCTGGAAGTGAAGAAATTGAGCTGCCACAGCAAAGGAACCACAACAGGATCACGATCATGATCACGATCATCCTGTTGTTTGTTGATTGCCTCGAGCAGACACCAGTAACGTCTCTTTCGTCCTAACCCTGAGATTTTAAAAAGTGCTATATTCAAGGCTTTTTCAGGGTTAGGAGAATGAGACCCGTCATTGTTACTGGTATTTGGCATATTGGGTACGTCATGGGGAGTTTGCCAGACTCTGCCGTGTGGGCAGGTTACCTTCGGTAGCCTGCTGGTTTGTCCAAAGTAAGAATGAGAAAATAAGATGTCGCACGGCCGCAAATGCTTCCGGGAGCTGGGTTTTATAGTCTCTGGGTCGTGGCCGTTGATGGGATTACACGGCGCCAGGGGGCCAGTTGGTGGGTGTGACCCCTGCTCACTGCCTACTCCACCACGCTGGAGCTGCCACAGCAAAGGAACCACAACAGGATGGCATAAATAAATAAAGTTTATTAGTAAGTAAAAAATAAAATTAAAATAAATAAAAAGAAAGTAGAACGTTTGCCACCTTCTAAAAGGAAAAATAAATGATTTTGTGACCAGAAGTAACCTTTACATGTGGGATCTCAAATGGTCAGTCTCCCTGCACTTGGGATGTGTATTTTCTCCAACAAGCAAATCCCTGTTCCCTCGGGTTTCCTGAGTTGGCAAAATCCCTTGTCATTCCCGGGGTTCGCAGGTATTATAAAGTGTCGCCCCAGCCTCCTGTCTGAGACCACCCTCGTCTATGCATCCGTTGCTTCCCATCCTCTTACATGCGAGTATCTCTTGTAGAAAAAAAGATTTGAATTTTTTGGAAAGTCAAACTCAGATTAACTGTTTCAACTCCTCTTCCACCCTGTAACATCATTATTGTTGCTATTAATTGGTAAAGCAAGGCCGTTTACCTCACTGGATTTTTCCATAGCGTTTGTGAAAGCAGCAGTGTAGTGACAGGCACATAAGCGCCCCTTCTCCCCATTTTCCTACACCACTGTTTCTGTGCTCCTTGAATCCTTACTGTTACTAAATGAGTTGATGTTTCCAAACTACCTTGAACCACTCCTGGTCCATCACAAGCCCTGGGAAAGTGTGTTGTAGGAGATACTTCATCCATTTTGGTGGTGGATGATCTCTGTCAGGAAGGACAAAAGGGAAAAGGCCAAACAGTGGTGTGTACATTTGGGTTCTCTTCTTTTTCATGTTTGCTTATTTACTCCTTTTTTTTTTTCCTTTTGGATACTGCCCTCATTGCTGTTTTCCATTATACTGGGGAGCTTGATGCTTCAAGTATTAATGATTTTTCTTTAATTTCCACCCATGGGCTAGCATAGCGTTATGAGAGAGAAAAGAAGCACTCTTCTGAGCTGCTGAAATCCGTGTGCTAGAAATCACAAGTTTATTTGTGTTTTGTTTTCATCTTTCACTGTCAGTGAAGAGCAGAAAATAGGAGCCATTCCTGCGTTTTTCTTTGTGGTTTCAGTTCCTTGGAAGAGGATTGTTACCCCCATGTGGTAAATAAGAGGATAGGCTCTGCTCCTCACTGCTGGCTTTGGACCCCACCTTTCTCCTTATACTGATATGCCCTTAGACCAGCTCCCGTTCCTTCATTTATTTATTTTGGCGTGACACTGTGAGGTCCTCAGGGCTTATTCTTGGCTCTGCGCTCAGAATCACTCCTGGTGGGCTCTGGGACAATACAGGGTGCGGGGATTGAACCTGGGTCCGCTGCATGCAAGGCAGGAGTCTTCCATGCGTACTATCTCCAGCTTCCTGTTCCTATTATTGTCAATTGAAAATTGTCTTCATCCTTTCATTTCAGGAAATTGAATACTATTTCCTTTGCATTGATGACCTGTCTGACCTTTCTCCCATACCCGATTTTCTTTCAGTGAGGTCTGCCAGTCCTTAGTGAAGCTCAGCTCCGGAGTGAAAGGAAGCTTACCACTACAAAAACTGCATCTGGGTTCCCGAAGTAACTACCATTTTTGTCATCCTACCTTAAAGCTGCAAAGGCCCCAATTAAGGACATCATTTCAGCAGTTCTCCTCTCTGACTAACCCTCCTTTACGTAAATTGAAACTTTCGCCAATGAAATGTGGCTACCAGCCCCGCAGAAATTTTTGGCCTGCAAGATTAGCAGCAAGACTCTTAAGACTTCGCTATCTCATCCTGGGATCTGCTGTCGGGGGTGGCTATACAGCCAAAAAGGTATGTTCATTATTCCCACTGCTTTTTCGATTGTTCCATCATTATTACTTTAAGATTTGATAGCGGAAATATTTTTTTTCTTCAGTGTGGTAACTGCAACTGGGTATTGAGTCTTTTTATATGGGTCTCTACAGTGTGCTCAGTTCTTTTAATGGCTCTAGTAGTAAACTGCCCTTGAACCTTAGTTATAATGAAAGGTGAAAAGAGCCAAGTGGAGAGAGCGAGGGGCTTGAGAATACCGAGGTTTGATCCTCAGTTTTGCCATTGGTAGACTAGACAGGAAAGTTTTGTGGTTTATGCACATAACCACTTCTGGGTAGTGCAGTGTACCCTAACCCTGGATTTGTCTTCCATCTCTCCCAGTGCCGATTAGAACCAAATTAGGCTAGAATTCTGAATTTTTGTGTTTTTCACATTTAGTAAAGGAATATTTATGTAATTTGTGTGCTTGCCTGCCCATTTGTTTTTTGAAGAGTTGAATCCACTATTGTTTCTGAACATTTTGAACATAACATATTGCTCTTAGTAGCCTAAGAGCTTTCGTTAAGGTAGTTTTTCTTTACATTTTCTTATGATATCCAGAGCATTTGACTGGCGTATTTTTTATCTTTTAGACTTTTGACCAGTGGAAAGATATGGTACCTGACCTTAGTGACTATAAATGGATCGTGCCCGACATTGTGTGGGAGATTGATGAATATATCGATTTAGGTTGGTATCTTTTCGTATGCTTCTCATGGTTATATCTTTAGAAAAGAGAAATGGTGGTACTGACAGTCCAATATGGGGCGTTTGATTTGAATGACAAAAGTAGTGGAATACTAAGCCAGACTGTTGTGAGGGGGGGATCCATTGTTCCACATGGGACATTTTCCTTCCCTTGTTTCAGGGGAAGGAGTGGCTCATGTGCTTCATCTTTTCTTAACTCTACCTGTTGTGTCGATGGGGTTAGTATTTTAATTTCTTTTAAAAATTGCATAAGGTCCAGGGATGTGGTTCAGGTAGGAAATACACGTGGCCGTGGGTTTGATCCCTGATGCCTCACGTCTTCCTCACCTCAGATGACTGAGTGTGGTCTGGTGGACTTGAGCCCCCTGAGGCGTGTTCCTGGCCCCCCTAAGCACTGTGGAATAAAGAGTCGTAACAACTAAAGAAAAAATAGAATGAACTAATGAAACGATGTAGTCATAATGAACTTATCCTTTGGTATCTTTGGCAGACTCACCTAGCCAGCGTTTTCCATATAGCACACAGTCTTCCCGGAATCATTCCCAGCGTTGTTCTTTATTACCCAGGACAGAGGCAACGTGACCCACCTAGTTAGCGCTTTGTGAGGATACTTTTATTCCTGCTACCGTACACCTTCCGTAACAGATTTCTTAAATGGCTGCTAGAGTCTGGAATAATTTCTCTTCATGGTCAGCCGTTGTTCCTTTTTCTAGTAATAATAAGGTGGGGGGGCATATTTGATAGCTATGACTTTGCCTTGTATGTGACCAACCCAGGTTCCATCCCTGGCATCCCATATGGTCCCCCAAGCAGTGCCAGGGGTAGTTCCCGAGTGCAGAGCCGGAAGTAATCCCTGAGCATTCCCAGGTGTGACCCAAAACAAGGACAAAAATTATTCCCTCTAGGCTTTGTCTTGTTCTTTTTGCTTAGGCATATGGGATAGAATTACTCTCTGAATGCTTAAATCCACAGCACTTTAAAAAAAAAAATGGACTACACCCAGCAGTGCTCAGGCCTTACTCTTGGCTCTGTGCTCGGAACTCCTTTATGGTGTTCGGGGTGCTCGATAGCCTGGGTCAAGCTGTCCAAAGCAAGTAGCTCCCATTGTACTATTTCTCTGCGCCCTCACATCACTTTCTTAAAGAAAGAACTGTTCTGTGTTAACAAAAATACTTGCAAGAAAAGCACTATTTCAGAATGCTTTTCTAATATGAGGAAAGCTTTTATTTATTTATTCACATTGGGGCCACACCCAGCAGTGTTTGAGACTTACTCCTGGCCCTGTGCTCAGGTGTCAGTCTTGGTGGGCGCAGGGAACCCTATGGGGTGCCAGGAACCGGACCCAGGTCGGCTGTGTGCAAGGCAAGCACCCTACCTGCTATAGTACTGCTTTGGTGCGGAGGAGAGCCTTAAACCTTGATGCATTTGCCAGCATTTGGTCTAAGAGGCTGAGAGCTTGGCTCGAAGTGAGGCACCAGGGCTTGAACTGCCTCTTTGCTTGTTTGCTGTGGCCTCAAGCAAGCCTTGCCACTTCTGGCTCCAGTTTCTCTTAGTAAAAAGGGGTTAATAATAGCCGTCTGATGCAGCTACTATGCTAGTGTTTAGAATAATATCTGACACTGAAATTTTTATGTCATAGCATCTTTGTGGGAGAAAAATGGGAAATCATTTCTAATTGAAATAACCTGTGAAAGTTATACCAGATTTAGACAAAAAATCATTTTGTTAAACAAGCACTTTGACCCTTCTATGAAGCTAGCAAAAATAAGAAATTGCCTTATGATCTCAATTATTTCCAACTGGTATAAATCTTAGGTATTAAAAGAGGGAGAAATGTAACGAATTGTGTTTTGAACTTATACTGGGACTTGGTCCCTTTTTCTTTATTCCTGCTGAAAGAGATGTTTTTCTCTTTCCTTTGACTCTTTGTCGAGGCTTCCTCACAAAAAGTATTTTAATTCCAATCCATTGTGATCATTGTTAATACAGTGCTTCTGTCTTAAAGCGTTTTGTTTATAAATTAAACATGACTAAGCTTTGCATTTGTTCTTTCAAAAAAAATTTATGGGGGCTGGAGAGATAGTACATCAGGTAGAGTGCTTGCCTGGCATGCTGCCAACCTGGGTGCGGTTCCCAGTACCCTACAGTGGTCCCCCAAGGAGTGAGACTTGAGCACAGAGTCAGGAGTAAGCCCTGAGCACTGCCGGGTGTGACTCCAAAACCAAAAAATCAAAAAAAATTAAAAAATATTTATCACTCATAGGCTATCTGGATAACACATCATTGCTGCAGTCATATGTAGCAGTTTTGAAAGGAGGAAAGTGGAAAACATAATTTTAATCAGATTGATGACTTATATTTAATGAATGTGTTAACTGTCAAATTTAATAAGATGACAATATTAACAAATACGTATTTTTCTTCAGAGAAAATTAGAAAAGCTCTTCCTGATTCAGAAGACCTTGCAAAGCTGGCACCTGACCTTGACAAGATCGTGGAAAGTCTCAGCTTACTGAAGAGCTTTTTCACCACAGGTCAGGAAAGACCCTTGATCTCACTTTAAATGTTGGCAACTACTGGGAATAATGCAAAAGGGCCTTGGTGGAGGGTCCCAGGCATTGTGGTGGTGGTAAGGTGAGGTAACTCCATGCACCGACACCAAAGATGTCAGTGCTGATGCAAACGTATTCTAAACTATAATCACTCAATTTTTAGAAGTTTGTTTAAAAATAAGCTTTCAGGGGGTGAGAGAGAAAGTACAGTGGTTAAGGCACTTGCACACAACCAACCCTGCTTCGATCCCCAGCACCACATATGGTCTCCTGAGAACCACCAGAAGTGATCCCTGAGCACAGTCAGGAGTCAGCCCTGAGCACTGCTGGATGTGGCTCAACCCTCCAACGAATCTTTTCTATTTATTGGTAAAGGTAAAGGTAAAGGCCCTCCCGTTGATCGTCGATTTGCTCGAGCGGGCCCAGTAACGTCTCCATTGGAGACTTTGTTGTTACTGTGTCTGGCATATCGAATACTCTCGGTAGCTTGCCGGGCTCTCCGAGAGGGGTGGAGGAATCGAACTCGGGTCGGCCATGTTGGCCGCTTGTAAGGCGAACGCCCTACCCGCTGTGCTATCGTTAGCAGTCAATAAATAATAGAGTGGCCGAAGAAAGCTACAGATGATTCTTAACAAGTATTGAAATAATCTGGTGTAAAAGTGAGTGAAACACTTTCAGGAGAAACAGAACTTCTAAGTTTGATCTTTTCTAGTCCAGCCGCATGTGGCATGACACTTCTCTCCTAATGCTGGACAGTGGTGTGAGCCACCCCATCACGAGGGCAACCAAATCATACTCTGCAATATACTGTGTTGCCAATATTTTTGACTTAAGATCTTTCAGTTTGTGATGGGTCACCCATTTATAACCCCATTTTAAGACAAGGAGGATTGTACTTAGCCATAGTCAGTTATATGTTCCCATCCTCTATGGAAATATGTCGTACAAATGAAAACAGGTTTTTGAAAAGAGAAAAATGTAAAGCTTTACACAGCATTTCAAATTTTTGTTTAGCTCAACAAAATAAAAATTTGTGAGAAATTCAACAGACTTGGCTTTATTTGGGAAGGAAAAATAAATTGTTCTTAAAATAGATGAGACTTCCTATGCTTTTGCTTTTCATGATTGGGAGAGAGCCCATTTGTTAATTGTAAAACAAATTTAATCCTGGTAGACCATCATGAGTAGAATTTACTAACGTTAATCCTGCCATATCTGCCCAATTACTGCCCTATCGTGATATAAACCTGAGATCTCAGACATCTTTGTTTGCACATTCTGTTAAATTTTACATTTCTATTTCCCTTTTTGCTGGTTTTTCACAGGTCACAAATTGGTTAGTGAAGTCATAGGAGCTTCTGACCTACTTCTCTTATTAGGTGTGTAAACAGACATTTTTGCTGACCTTAACATGCCTCTTCAATGCTTCTAATAAACTAGCTGCAAATAAAATTGTGAACCAAATTTATAATGCTGCTTTTGCTGAGTCTTAAAATCCCCAAACTCTATTGGGCAGATCATTATCCTTCAGATAGAAATAATGAAATAGTTACTTTGTGGTAAGACTGGAATTTTAAAGTATCTGTCAGTATGAAAAGATTAAAACTGTTAAAAAGGAAGTCTGCTTAACGCAAATATTTTCTTGAAGTTGACCTGACCGTTTTTGGTAACTGAAATGAAAAGTAATTGTAGTTTGTCTCATCTTTCGTGTCATGGTGACACTTTAAATTCTTTATTCTACTGTATATGGCCTTTAGTGACTGAGGTAGTTAGTTGAACTGTAAGTATTCTTAAAGGAATCTTTGTCAAATACTATCTTATTTTTGTTGTAATTTTCAGTGGTATTTAAAAATAGAGTAAATGTTCTAATATATTTTTAGTTTTCACTGTAATTTTTTTTATATTCTAAACTTTTATTTAAAAATACCCCCCCCCCCCCCTTTATTTAAACACTGTGGTTTACAGAGGTGTTCATGATGATTTGTTACAAGCATTCAGTATTCCAACACTAATCCCACCACCACTGTCTCCATCCCTCCACCACTGGCTCCATTTCCCAACCACCCCTCAAGTCTGCCCCCTGTGTCAGGCCCTCAGAAATTTATTTTATATTGCTTGTTACCTATAAGTGGCTAACAGAATGATCAAAAAATACTTCCTTAGGAGAAATTTAGTGAAAATTGTTGTATCTCAGCCATGCAGATATTAAGTCCTTGTCTGAGAGATGACTAAGATGTTACAGTTAAGCTTCTGTGTTGTTTTTGTGTCCTGAGATTGATGGGCTTCCACGCTACATCTCATCCAGTCTGGTGTGCCTCCACTGGATTGTCAGTGTAGTAGAGTTGGAGAAGTTGTGTGACTGTGAATGGTCCAGAAAATCCAGTTTTTAACTGCTCAGCCCGGCTGAGTTGAACTTTTTACTGCTGAGCTAACATGGTGGCAGAGGTGGTTTGTGGGTAGGATCGCTGGGGCTTAGAAGTACAGGGAATGGGGGGAGTAGCCCATCCCAATTCTGATAAGGCCCAGAGCCTTCAGCCTGAGGTTTTCAGCTGGGTGAGTTTGTCTGTGAGGTTCATTTCTGGAGGCTGTGGAGTCCAGCTGGAGGCATAGACAACTTTGGGGTGTGGAAGTGAGCGTCTTCTGGGGCTCTGTGTGGGTGAACGCTAGCCTGCCCTGCTCTGAGAGTGCCCTGTTGTCTCAGCCAGTTACGGCTACCCGAGTTTTTGTGGCTAGTTGATCTCTTTCAGGATTTATTTATGAGTCTCTGGGACAAAGCAAGTAAAGATGAGCTACATGGCAGTGGAGGTGGTTTGTGGGCGTGACTGCCAGGGCTTCCCGAAGTACAGGGAAGTAGGGAAAGTAGCCCATCCTGATTCCCTGATTCCGAGAAGGTCTGGCGCTTTCAGCCACTGGGACCCTGCCCTGGAAGTTTCTGCGGGGTTGAGTGTACTGTGAAGCTCAACAGTCCTGAGGTGCTGGAGTCCGGCTGGACACAGGGCGACAGTAAAGATGAGCTTACATGGTGGCGGAGGTGGTTCTTGGGTGCGACTGCTGGGGGTTTCCCTCACTGTAATTTTTAGTGGTATTTTAAAAAATGGGTTACACTTCCTGTTGTAGTTTTTCTCTGTGTATGTAATTGTGTATGTAATTTAATAGTAAGATCTTTAAAGACAAGAATACTTTTCTGGAAAGTGATTTTCCTCTATTACATTTTAATTGAATTGACATAAGTTATAATTTAACTACATGCAATTTAAAAAATTTAGTTGACATCATTGGAATATTTACAGGACTTTGTATTTTGTCTTTAAGGTTCACCGGGAGAAACAGCATTTAGAGCAACAGATCATGCATCTGAAAGTGACAAGCTATATAGAAAGGTAAGTATAGGGGAGAATCTTTCTCATAGCTAATCTTGAAAAATTTTAAGTAGTTTTTACTTACCTGGGAGATTTGAAAATGGTTTTATCTGAGGAGCAAATGTGAAAGTGATTAAGACAGGTATTGTTGGTACAAAAAACAAGGTACTTGGTGACAGTTCAAGAAATGGGAAATGTCATTTCTTAAAATACATTTTAAGTACTTTTCAGAGGTTGTTTTCAGCAGAGGGTTTTATTTATTACATGTGGGGAAGGCTGGGATAAATAAATAAGCAGTATTTTTTTCTTTCCCCGTAATTTCTCAGACCTGAACATACTCATGTGTGTTGTGAATCTCCAAGAGAAGTCATAGTACATAGGGTTGTACAAATTTACTTAGCAATAGAATCCCTTTTCTGTGAAATATAGTGTCTGTTTCATGACCTATGCTTAGGATAAATATGTTTAGGCATATGCTTAGGTAGTGGGTCAGACAGACAAATTGATTCGGTTCCATCAATAGCCAACAAAATTATATTAGTTAGGATATATTTGTTCTTTACATGTGTTGACAAAATTCATATGAAAGATTTAGAAGAGTGCTGAGATAGAATAATCTATACATCACTCTTCATATGTTTACCGAGCATTTTCTTTTTTTTTTTTTAAATTTTTATTAGTGAAACACCATGAGGTACAGTTGTAGACTAACAAATTTTTGTGCTTGGGTTTCAGTTATACAATGATCAAGTACTCATCCCTCCACCGGTGCCCATTCTCCACCACCACTAATCCCAGTATCCCTCCCCCCCCCCCCGCATCCCACCCTGCCTCTGTGGCAGGGCACTCCCTTTTTTTTTCTCTCTCCTTTTGGGTGCTGTGCTTTGCAAAAGAGGAATTGAGTGGCAATTATGTTGGGTCTATAGTCTACTTTCAGCATGCATCTCTCATCCTGGGCGGATCTTCCCAACACCCTTTATTTGGTGCTCCCTTCTCTAGCTGAGCTTTCTTTACCCTTAGAGTGTGCGGCTGGCCTCCAAGCCATGGTGTAAACCTCCTGGTATTTTCCTGGCTATTCTTGGGTATTAATCTCCTATTTTGTTACTTTATGTCCCCCAGATGAATGCAATCTTTTTATGTCTGTCCCTCAATTTCTGACTCATTTCACTTAGCATGATACTTTCCATGTAGTACCACTTGTATGTAAATTTCACAACTTCATCTTTTCTAACAGCTACACAGTACTCCCTTGTGTAGATGTACCAAAGTTTCTTTAACCAGTCATCTTTTCTCGGGCACTCAGGGTTTTTTTTCAGATTCTGGCTATTGTAAAGAGTGCTGCAATGAACAAACAAGTGCAGATGTCACTTCAACTATACTTCTTTTTACCAAGCATTTTCTTACTCTCCATTTTTTTTTCCCCTTTTGGGGAATTGGTAAGAAAACTGATGCCTTGAAAATGAAAAAAATATATATGTAAAATATATTTAATGGCTTGAGGAGATAACTCTAAGGGCCTGAGCTTTGCATGCTGGACGCTGGGTTCCATTGGATACTTGGCACTGGATATTCTCCTGAGCTCTAAGCCGGGAGTAGCATTGAGCACTGACCCCTGGATCTCTATCCTATATGGCTCCAATTCCTCTCTTCCCCCCCAAAAGTCTGGGTAGATTTCTGGAAAATATTTTATAAACAGTTTAAGATTAAATACACATCACATAGCTTTGATACTGAAGGTTTCATATATTGAAGGGAATAATTTATGGCTATTTGGGGAGGGAGGTTAGGAAGTAAATATTATCTAATATGAAGTTGTATCTTCTTCCTGTCCTTCAGCTTTTGCATTTTTACTTGATAGTCTATGTTTCAATATATTTTTTTCTTTTGCCTTTCAACTTATATTTTAGAGAAAAGATATTTTTAAATGTATCTGTATACATATGTGTACATGTCAGTTTTCCTTTAACTTGGTCATTTTTTATACCTATTACATTGGCATTATTTTAACCAAGAAAGAGTCTTAGCTATTTATGTTCCAGGGAGCATAATTTGAGAAGTTATCCTGTTATGCACAGCTTATTTTGAGCCAAGGTATATCTTAATGCAAGTAGACTTACTGAGCAGAAAAAAAGAAAAGGGTATCATTGGGGAGATGGAACTTCTGTTACAGGTATGTTAGTATGATGTGAGTTACAGGACTTCTTAGTGTCTAAACTGGATTGGGGCTTCTTAAACATTTTCCACTCAAGACCCCTTTTCACCTGAGAAATGCAAGTTTCTGAGCCCTGCAAGAAGACCTTGTGTTCATTACATGTTTGATTTTGAAATAATTTTTCATCATTGCATATTTAGAAACCTTTCACTGTTTACAGATTTTTTTGTGACCCCAATGCCCACCCCACACACGTGAACCCCACTATGGGAAGCACCCCACATATTAGGGGACCTCTGATCTCTACTCTTCCCTGTACATGGCCAGGAGTACATTGGTGCATGAGAAGCCTACTTTGGAGCCTGAGTTCCCCGAATGAATCTCTGAGAATTTCATTATGTGTACAGATTTCATTTCAGACACTACACAAGAAAAATTCCTTGCTTTATTTTCCAAACTTACATCTTTGTTTAGGATAAACGTGCTGATAAACTGTTCTCTATTAATTTTTTCTAACTGGGATTATTTACCCATTAAAAATGCACAAATTCGGTTGGAGAGAGACCAGGGGTTGAGGTGCGTGCTTCTTACATGACTGACCCAGGTTTATTTTATTGACGCTAAAATTTACTGTACAGGGGCCGGAGTGATAGTATAGTGGGCAGCATGCTTGCCTTGCACACAGCATACCGGATTTGTTCCTTGGTACCACATATGGTTCCCAAGCCTTGCCAGGAGTAATCAGTCCCTAAGCATTGTCAGGTGTGGCCCCCAAAGAAAGGAGGAATGAAGGAATGTTTAATATACAGGCACCATATTTTCAGCCTTGACTAGTACTTTGAAATTCTATTGTTATTTGTACTAATTTGTTAAGGCTTGACAAATTTGATATCTGAGAATAAAGAACTTCTCAGACAAGATAGTGATACACTGATTGGACTTTTCTACAAATTGATTATTGATTGGAAGGAAGGAGAGAGAACTTAGTAGAAAGGTTTTTCCTTTATGAAACTATGCTAGAGCATTATGTGAAACATTAGACAATAATCAGAGGTGGTAGGTGTAACATTCAGAGTTTAACAGACACCTTTTGATTCATTGAGGCAGGTGTTTGAAAGCCCAAGCTTTAAACTGGTATTCAGGTTTGAAGCAGTCATTCCCCAGCCTTCCAATGATCTGGTTTGTACTGGCTTCTGGCTACACTTCTAGAAATATAAAGGTCGATATTAATCATATTTTTAAAAGTAGTAATTAAAGGCATTTCTCAAACTAGAACTAAAATTAGATTTCTCCTTTGACTAAGAGTGCGTATGTGGAGAAATGCAGGGATGTAAAGGAACATTCCTGGCCTTTAAAGTCACTGGAGCGAGAGACTGGAGGGAGCACAGGGCTCACTCCTATTGATGAAGTCAGATCAAATGAACAATCTACTGATGAATTTGGTTGCCTGTGGTTCTGTCTGGCATCATTAGAAACTTGGGACGTCCTCAACATGGCTACATAAAGCAGATATTTCCACATGCCAAAAGGGACTAGTCAGGTTTCTCTTTTTTGTTGTTTTTTTTGTGGGGGGTTTTTTGCATTTATATAGCAGCACAGTGTGTTCACGCTGGTTATTATTTTTATGTTATATTTTTATATATAATAGAAAATACTTTTAATAAATTCTTTCATTAAGAAAAAATTTTAAATCTTGTATTCACTGGAGGAAAATACTAGAAAGAGCCCTTTATGTGAACTAAATAATATTCTGTTACTTGGAGATCTTCAAAATTCCTTTAAGACATGCTGGGAACTAGAGTGATGAGCCTGATTCAGTGAACTAATCTATTCATCTGATTTGTAAATCAGCAGACTTCTGAAGATAGGTTATATTATAAAGAGATTACAAGACTTTTTGTTTATATCTTTTTGGGGGGTGTATCAGGAATAATGTGGCATTCTAATTATGTTCATTTTAATTTGCTAAATGGGATATTTAATGATTTCTGCCTTTATCCTGCCATGTTTCTGATTGATCATAAACTTCTCACAGAGTAAGGAATGTGGTCATGACGGTTACAATCATATTTATAATTACAGAAAGTAAGGACCTTTAGAAAATCCAAATCATTTAAAGTGGCATTACTATTTTAAGTATGATTCTTGAAAATACATAAATGTTCTTCCTTTCCACTCGATCTTGTAATTCATATTTGTAAGGCTGTACTTATGCATTATATGTATCTCCAAGCTGAAATCCTTTTTTCTTTTCCTCTACCTAATTCTGCTTATCCTTAAAGCTTGGTTGTCACTTTCATAAAGCCTTCAATTGCTATTTTACTTCTTTTAATTAAGCTGCTAACGTTTAAAACACTTGTTTTTGAAACACCATTTACCTTGGTTTGCTTTCTTTCTTCTAATTTAATGGGTTGCTTGCTTTGTCACAGAATCTTGGGTCAGTGCTAAGCTTCTGAGCTGGATTAGTTGATTGGTTAAACTCAGTGGAAAAGGCTAATTCAAAATAAATCATTTTGATTGGCACCAACAAGAATGGCCCAAAGACTTTATGTAATAGATCTTTTTACTTATACATATCTCTTGGCCTTCAACATTTGGCAACTGTTAATGGAAAAGAGAAAAGGAAAGGTTACATCTTTCAAGATAATATGAATTGTTATAAAGCAGTGGGTTTTTTGTTTTGTTTATTCTAAATTTCCATTTCTGGGGACCAGGGACTGAACCTAAGGCTTCTTCTATCATATAAGTAAGGCGTTTGCTCTATTGATGAGATTCCTAGCCTCTGGAGATACTGCTTTTGTTTTTCCCCAATTTTTGTTGCGACACCCTGATTTACAGTACCGTTAATGATCATGCGTTCAGTGTTCCG